CTGCAGCAGCCCCGCCCCTACGAGCGCCCCCCACACAGCCCCCCTTCCCTGCACCCCGTGGGGCCCTTCACCTCACCCCAGAACACCCTCTCCCCCTCCCCTCCCCTCCCCGTGGGCCCCAGCACCCCCACGCGGCCCCTCCAAGGAAGCCTGCAAAGAACTTCCCGCCAACGACTCGGCTGGTTTCACACCGGAGATCAGCGCTGCCCAGACCCGGCCGCCGTGCGCGCCGGACACGGAGGAAGAACGCCGCCGTGTCCCCGGGAGCCTGCCCGACAGCCAGGAGGCGGCTGGCCAGGCGGGGCGACGGACGGCGAGCGCGTAAACGTGCAGCCGCAACTCGAGGAGCAAGCTCCGGCGGAGCAGGTGCAGGGGCTGCAGCGTGGCGCACTCCACGGACACGTGCGCCAGCGTCTCCCTCTGATGGCAGAAGTGGCACCGGCCGGAGGCCACCTCGATTCACGCCAGCCTAGGGCCCGGTGGCTCCAGGATGAGGGCCCCTGCTGTCTTGGCAGGACGCAAGGGCGAAACGATGGATAATCGTGTGGACTAGCGCACAGAGCTGGCGCCGGCGGGCCGCTGAGAAACGGGCTGGCCCTACGTCCCCCAGCCGACTGGGACGGTGCCACGGGGAGTGGCCCGGAGCCCGCCGATTGGCCGCAGACTTGATGAGCAACTCCACCGGGCGGGGACACCCTCCCGCAGGGTCTGCTCCAGGTAAGCGGGGCATGTGCGGGCAGCGCAGCTCTCACCTCCTCGACTAGGTGCAAGCAAGTTGCACAGCTTATGGTCAGGCCCAGCCCTCCCTGCTTGTCCGAGTCCAGGAGGTCCCGGCCCCCTGAAGAGCACACGAGCAGCCGAGGACTGGGTCCGACCCTTGGCCCGTGTTGCCCATTGCGGGTGTCCCACAGCACCTGGAAGGGACAGTGGCTGGGGCTGAGCAGGGCTTTCCCGTTCCTCTCCCCCTGCAGCCTCCAGCACTGAGGTCCAGGCAGGGCCCCCCACCCTGCCGGGATCACCCAGCACCTCCCTTTGCATCGTGGTGCCTGGAAACGTCTTGGACCCACTTCGCTCCGTCCCCCAGCTTCCCCGCCCCCCCGCACAGACACTCGAGCCAGATGCAGAGGGACATCCAGGGTTTTATTTCCCATAGCGAAGGGACAGGCCACGTAGCCACATGCCCAGCCTCCACAAACCCTCATGCAGGTGTCCCCAGCCTGGCACTGGTCTCCACGCACCCCCCTGCACACAAATGAGCCCCCCATACATCTCTCCCCCACCGGGGCCAAACCCCAGTCCCCACAGGAATGCCACCCCAGCCTCTTGCAAGGGGAACCCCGGGAGGATGTGACTTCCGCCCCTGCCCTTGTGCTCAGCCAGCAGCAAGGAGGGCAGGGGCAGCGCGGCTGGTGTGGAAGGAGCCAGCTGGACGGGGGTTTGGGCTGGAGCAATAGCCTGGGGGGGAGGACAGGCAGCAGGTTCCCATGTCGTCCGGTTCCTGCACCCAACAGCAGCACAGGGAGACCCCTTTGGCACGGATTCACTGACTCCTCCAGCCAAAGTTTGCTGCGCAGGTGCTGGCAAGTAGGCTGCACCGGGGCCAGGAAGTCACAATCCTTGCCCCCATGGTGCCAGCCTAGGACACAATGTCCAGAGCACAGCGCCGCGCCTGGCCTGCACCCAGGGTCCAGGGATGGCCAAGGCAGGAGCTATTTCTTGAGGAGTTGGGCCCGGGCGCGATTGAGCTTCTCCACAACGGTGGCGTCAATGGCAGGGAAGCACTTGGCCAGCACCAGGCTCATTTCGCTCTCACTCTTGTGCTCAATGGCGGCGTCGGCAGCTTGGTCCAGGTCTCTGCACCACAGGGCAGGGGTCAGACAGGGCCACTCCCCTCCCCCAGGCAATAGGCCCCCCCTCATCCCATCCTGTGTTTGCTCCAGCAGGCCTAGACCCAGGTTCTGAAAGCAGTTGCCCCCAGAGTAGATCGCAGCCTTCAGAAGGGGGTGAGGCCTGGGGCTGAACAGGGGGCCCTGGGACAGCTTTGGGTCTATGGCCTGCACCCCAGACCCCGAGGCTGCTGCCCACCCCAGGGAGCAGCGCCCTGCCCCGTAGGGGACATACCCCACCAGGATGAAGGCCTTGACCCTCTGCTCAGGTGTGACACGGGCCGCGTACTTCTTCGCCTCATGGCGGTTGTGGTACTTCACACAGATCTCCACGAAGGGCTGTGGAGAGCGAAGGGCAGATCAGCTGCGGGGCTGGTTGCCCAGGTACCTCTCCCCCCCTCTCCTCCTATCCCAACCCCATTCACCTAACTCCCTGGAACCGCTCTTGGCCCATCCCCTATTCCTGCCCTATTTTGCTAATGCCCTCAGGGGCAGTAACGGGAACGTCCTCTTGCCAGGGCTGGAAAACCTACTGAGGGGCAGGGGTGCCAGGGCCCCTGAGGGGGTCTCCCAGCTGGCAGCGGGGCCCCATCAGAAGACCCTGGGGCTGCTGCTAAGAGCTGTACAGCCTCCTGCTTCGTGCAGCAGAGATGTGCCTCTCAGCCTCCCCAGTCCCCTTCCTAGAGCCGCACTATGGGGGGTGCGCATCCCAGGCGAGTCTGCTTTCAGTCGGTGTCTGTAGGACACATGGGGTGCCTGCAGTGGGGCGACATCTCTTACCAGGTACCCGATGGGCGACTTCTTGCTCTTGGAGAACTTCTCCATCTCCTCCCAGTCGCCGCACTCGGCCAAGCTGCTTATCTTCAGCCACCAGAACCTGGGCAGCACAGACAGTGGGGTTTCACTGGGGCTCTGCTGAGCTGGGGTGAAAGCAGCCCCAGACCTGGCTCTCGCCAGCCATGCCCCACCTTCCCCCTGCTGTGCCAGGCACCAGGGACCCCCAGCTTCAGAAGGCAGTGTTGGGAGACCTCCCCATTGCTGGTGTGTGCCTGGCCTACCAAGGCCTGCAGGGATGGAGCCCCCTGAGCCAGAGGTGAAGCAGGGCAACAAGTGCATGCACGTGCATGCAAACAGCTGGCACTGCTGCTGTCCCCACTCACCTCTTGTCAGGGATCTTGAACTCCCGGTACAGCTGCTCAGCCCGCTTGTGTTTGCCATCCAGGATGAGGTGAGAGATGGTGTCGTGTAGGGAGCAGTCCAGGTAGGGCTTGTCCAAGTCCTCCTGTAGCCGGTGCTGGATCCGCAGCAGCTTGATCTGATCCTCTGTGGCCTGGGCAGTGAGCAGGAATCAGTGGAAGTGGGGCTGGTAGGGGGTTGCGGGGTCACTTCTACTTCAAGCCCTGCCTGAGGCAGGATCAGCCCCGCCCAAACCAGCCCAGACAAACCCCGTGTCCAGCACAACACCGCCACCCCCGACACAGCCCCAGGCATTGCCCCTGACCCGGGAAAGCAGCGGGGCCGTGGCTGCCAACGTACCGCTGCTACCAGGGGTGTCATGGACATTGCAGAGAGCCCAGGCCCTAGCCCCTGCCAATGCTGCCGGCCATCCCCACCCCACTCACTTTGGCGGCAAACTCATTCTTGGCCTTGTAGTACTCATCCACTGCGTTCTGCAGTGCTGCCACCCGCCCCTCGATCCGCTGCAATGACACGTGGTCCCAGTCCAGTTCCAGCCTCTCTCTGCCACCTCCAGCGCCCATGTGGGGAGGGGAGCAGCCAGCGTGTCCCAGGAGCCACCCACGCTGGGAGGGACAGGGCCATACGGTGGGAGCCAGAGATGGAGCCTGAGCTCCCAACCCTTCCCCAACAAGCCAGGTTCAGTCCATCAGGAAGCACAGCTTTGTGTCCACACCCAGAGGTGCTGGGCCCCCCACCTGGGTGTTGGACCCAGCACCCTGGAACAAGGGGTGGAGTAGAAAAATCCAGCCCAGCGGACCATCCAGCACCTCCCAAACCCCACAGCCACTAACTCCCTTGCTAGAAGGCCATTGCACCCACAGCAGGACAGTCCCTGTCTGTGCCCCTAGAGGCAGAGGTCCCTGCACCCCCTGCCCACAGAGGGTGGAGAGCAGCCACCCACTCCCCCCAGCACAGCACTCCCCTTTGGCACCCTGTTCCTCATGGTCCAGCCAGCACCTGGCAGCCCCACCCCCAGCCCCCAGGGCCTTGACCTCCTCGTTGGCGTAGCTGTTGTGGACGTGGAGATTGCCGAGCTCCTGGTGGTTGTCGTCCTGGTTGTACAGGTCCTTGAGTGTCTCCCTCTCCTGGTGCTTGCAGAACTGGGACAGGGAAGCAGAAGAGACCCCAGACGTTAGCCCATGCACCTGTCAGGGGGACCCCCTGCCTGCCCCGACACCAGGCCTGGGGTTGCTACAGGCTGGGCTGGGCACACCCACACCGGCCCCCATGCCATGATCTGTTGCCCTGTACCTCTCACCTGGCGGTAGAGGCTCAGGGCCACTGGCTGGTTCTGCAGCGTCATGAAGAAGTTGCCACGGTTCAGTTCATTCTTCAGGTGCAGCACGACCGTGTACACTGGGCCAAGCAGAGGGGCAGTCAGTGGGGCTGCAGAGCACAGACCCCCCTTCCTCCCCACCCTGTAGCCATTGCAGGGCTGGGGGGCTGCAGCTGGGCACCTGAGGGTGGTGGGGGGAGGTTGGGTTGCTGAGTATGGAGATGGAGGACTGGGGGTGCTGGGCCATGAAGGGGGGCAGGTGTTTGCACTGGAGCCCTCAGCACATCAGCTGCTGCCCCTCAGCCCTGGCTCCACAGGGGCCGCCTTGGGGTGGCCTAGCCCAGTGGGTTTTGAGTGCAGAGGGTCTCGAGAGCCCATAAGAGCCAGCCCCATATGGCACCAGAGCACTGAGAGCTGGGGCTGGTGGCCTCCCCCACGCCCCAGGTGGCCTCACCCAGGTCTGTGTCCCCGCTCTCGATGGCTTTGCTCAGTGCCAGCTTGCTCCGCTTCATCTTCAGCAGCAGCGGAACCTGCTCCCCTGACCGGGGCTCATACTCCAGGAGCTGCAAACACACACAGGGCTCCTCCCTCAGCATCCTGGCTATGGAGCTGGCCCATGCCAGGTGCAGACAGTGCAGCCAGAGGGCTCTGGGCAGGGAGCCGTGCCCAGGGGAGCATGGTCAGACCAGGTTGTGGGCTCCCAGCTCTGCCAACATCACTGTGGCCCAAGCCATACCTTTTGTGGGCAGTGACTATATCCCTAGTATGAGTCTAGTATGGCTACTGTGGGCTTCAACCAGCAGCTCTGAACTCTACATTGCTCCAAGCTTCACAGCCCAAGAGTGTTGAGTCAAACCAGTTGGTCAGGGGAGGGCTCTGGGGGCCAGACCTGTCAGTATGAGCATGTCCTTGTTACCTGGCCGCAGGAAGGGGAAATGTTCGGCCACCTCCTACCAGCCCTGGCTGCTTCTGAGGGGCCTGGGCTAAGCAGCACCCAGCGCCTCTGGGGGAGGCTTAAAAACCCCCTGACACATGGAGCAGAAAGAGTGTTGGAAGGAGGACGGAGGAGACAACCAGCACAGCCCCGAAGCCTGGGACACCCCCATGGCAGAGGACAGGCATCGCTGCATCTAGATCCCCAACCAGTGCCTGTCCAGCCTCTCTTTGCACCCTCCAGTGATGGAGAGTCCCCCTCCTTCCCTGGCATCTCTTCCATTGCAGTGAGCCTGGGCCTACCTGGCCAGCCAAGGAAGGGGAGCATCCCAGGGACCCAACTGAATCAGATCAATTAAACACAGCACAAGGTCTGAAAACAGATGCTACAGAAAAAAAATGCCATGAAGTAGATAATCTAAATATGCTGCATGGGAACTTCAACTTAAAAGTTTTAGTAGCTGTGAAGGATGTATCCCAATGTAGAGGGGCTCGTTTTTAATGCAGGTAGTTGCATTACAGTTCTTAATTAGTTGCTGAAACAAAGCAGGTGTGTCCACGCAGACCACACACTAAGGGGAAGAGAGAGCAGGATGAGGCCCACAACACAGCAGGGCAAGGAGGGAAGGGGGTAAGGAGAGGCCTGCCAAAGCGGTCACTTCCCCAGGGACACAAATCCCAGCTCAGTGGCACCTTCCCAGTTCCAAAGAGCTGGGCCCAGTCACTTCCAAAGATCTCAGTGAAATGAAGACACTGGAATATAATCAGAGACTGTTTAACTAAAATAAACCCAGTATAATAGTGGTGGAGACTGCAGGGAAATTCTGGAGACAGCAACAGGTTCAAGACAGCCTGTTGCTGGTCTGTGTGCTGCTGTCCAGAGCCTCCCCTGGCAGTCGGTACAGGCGAGAATCCGTATTATACCATTGTGAGCAGCTAGACTGGCATGGGGACTGTTGTATATGAATCTTGTAGGGTTTAAGCAAGGCTTTGTAATGCTCAAAGTGAAACAATTTCTTTGTCCTTTCGCCTACCATTTCATAAAAGCGGACACAGCACTTACGAGACAGCGTAAAAGAAAAAAAGTACTGTATAAGAGTTACTGTGTAAAAGTTACTAATAAAATATGAAACTAACTGAATCCAGTCAACAGAGGAGTCTCATCAACAGGAGAACCTTAAAAGTTGAACATGATTTGTTTTTGTTAAATAAAAAAACATCGAGACAAAATATAGAGGACATGTAATTCACAAGAATTAAACTTCGGTGTTCACGCCCACAGTGCCACTTGATTAGACAGAATAATTTAATTGATAGATGATTGGGAGCACGAGCTAATCACGAACTAACACTTATGCACTTAGAAAGTATAAAAAAGTATAACTAGTAGGCGTAGTCCCTCTCTCAAAGAGACACCTCGCTCGAGCAAATAAAAATTCTGTATTTAACTTTAAATACTTACT